GCCCGGATCCCTAGCTCTCGGAAGATAAGATCGCCCACATCAATCTTGATGCCCTCCATAATACATGCAATGAGAAGGGCTTTCTCAATGCCTATATCAGTCTCGTTTCTGGAAGGTATTAGGCGTGAGGTGACAAAGCTGAGCCAAAATCGACCCTCTCGTGTGAGATCCTCCTTGTATATTTTGTGCACAGGGCTGATCCAAGAAGGGGTCCCCCTTGCTATCACCGAAGCAATCCAACTGCTCTCATTTTCCCTATTTGCCCATTTGGCAGCATACTCAGTTGTGCCCGATGTCCAACCAGGGAAGTATAGCTCATTAATTTTCTCACTGCTGCAGTCCACACTCTTCCCCCGAACCAGTACAGTGTCACAGAAAATCCTATTGCATTTGTGGTGCGTATTCCTGGAGGCTCCATATGATACATAGAACTCACGGACAAGGGTCTCATTGTATTCAACAGGTGGTTCAGTGAAGCACTCCCATTTTCTTTGTTTTATGTTCTCCCATATGTAGGGGTAATGCACTTGTAACCCGTTCAAGCTCAATTGCTTCTCAGCCAGGATCTTCCGTTTGGTGAGCCCTTCTCTATACAGTGCCCTAGACCCATCAACCCCAAATCGGAGTTGGAAGTCTTCTCCGCTTTTCCTTCTTGCCTCAGCTTGTAGGTCAACTGAGGGCAAGATCTCCTCCTCATCAGACTGGGAGGGATGTGGAACATTAGGGTCCGTTCGGGATCGTTTGGCTTGTGACGCTTGACGACGGGAGGATGCCCTTTTCTTGTCAGAGGCTGAGTATTTCTTTGGAGCCATATCTGTACAAATGTGGAATGTGAGCGACCTTGGAGGCAACAGTGAAAAGAAGAATTTTTTTTTATTTTTTTTAAGATGCGACAGGTTATGCGATCGCATAACCACTATGTGGACCGCAAACCTGTCGCAAACTTGACATTCTATTCCGGGTCTCAGTCTGCAATGAGTTATGCGATCGCATAACAACTATGCTTATCGCATACTCATCGTAGAACTGTTTTGTTCACAAACCAAATCCCAAAATGCAATCGCACATTCCACCGCAAAGTAGGAAATGCGATAGCAAAACGGCCGCAGAAAGCATGTTGTAAACTGGGTACACTGTGTCAGTATGCGGTGAGTCTGCAGTCCGCATATCAATTATGCGATCGCAAACTCACCACATTTTATCATCTTCCTCAGCCGATCTAGGTTTCAGTTATGCGGCAAAAATGCGAACCGCATTTTGATTTTGCGGGCCGCAAATGTCCATCGTCCCCAACGAGTTAATTTTACCCTCAACAATGGCGGTCCTAATTCTTGCTACCCAGCACCCCAAACATGTTTCCTACCCAAGAGATTATCACAATATGGGCAAACAACTACTCACAAAACTCAATCAAAAGTGAAGAAAGAAAATAGAAAAGAAACACAGGAGAAACAAATGTGAAATTGAAAATGAAAAACTAGGGCAAGGAAACATACCAGTGAAGATGAGCAAACACACTACGGAGATGAATTCTCAAGTGGTTTCGTCCGTTATTAGATGTCACTAGCCTTTTTTCCCTTTCCTCTTCGGTCTTAGTTTGCCTCTCTTTTTTTTTCGTTCTTTTTTTTTTGCGTTGTTTCCTTCTGTTAGATTTTTTTTTGAATGTGTGAGAGATGAAAGGATGCGAAGACATACCTGACAATTTTGCGGTGGGTAAGTCACCACATAACACACTATGCGACCTCATAAGTGTTATGCAGTGGGTTCAAGTGAGTTGCTGAAGGGCCAAAAATGCGGTGCACTATGCGATCGCATAGTGAAGATGCGGTCTGCAAAGTGCACCAATTCGTCGCATTTTTCTCATCAATTTTAGCAAAACACACTGTGTTGTTTTGCGACCAAAATGCGGTCCGCATAGTGAAAATGCGACCGCATATGTGTAGCAAACTTCACACGGTGATTTTTCTTCCCTTTCTTATGCAATCCTACCCAATGTTATGATCTTTTGAATCCCCTGCACTCTAACACACACTTTAAATTGCTCAAGTAAATCTATCTATCAAAAATTTAAAGATTTAAAGAACACAAAGGGTGTTACCACACATGGGTTGCCTCCCATGAAGCGCTTGATTTAATGTCGCGGCACGACGAAGTTGGCGTTTCTTTTTCTTCACTCATTTGTCGGGCATGGACCATCTTGGAGAGCCAACTGTTCCACTAAATGTTTTTCTCCATCAGTGCCCAAGTAGTGCTTGATTCGTTGGCCATTGACTCTGAATGTCCGGAGCCCATCTTACCAATGCTAGTTCCACAGCTCCAAAAGGAGAGACATTGACCACTTTGAATGGACCGGACCATTTTGATTTGAGCTTGTCCGGGAACAATTTGAGCCTTGAGTTAAAGAGCAAAACCAAGTCACCCGACTTGAACTCTCTTTTCAAGATCATCTTGTCATGGACGAACTTCATCCTTTTTTTGTACACCGCTGCACTTTCATAAGCATGGAAACGAAATTCCTTCATTTCATTGAGTTGTGTTAGCCTCAAATTTGCAGCTTCAGCCCAGTCCAAGTTCAACCTCTTTAAAGCCCACATGGCCTTGTGCTCCACTTACACGGGTAGATGACAAGCTTTGCCAAAGACTAACCTGTAAGGAGAAGTACCAATAGGAGTTTTGTACGCCGTACGGTATGTCCACAATGCGTCATCTAGCTTCCTTGACCAGTCGGTCCAATTTGCATTAACAGTCTTTGCTAGAATGCTCTTGCTCTCCCGGTTGGAAACCTCAACTTGACCACTAGATTGGGGATGATAAGGTGTGGCCACCTTGTGCTTGACACCATACTTCTCTAGCAGCCCCGTTAAAGCCTTGTTACAGAAATGAGACCCACCATCACTAAGAATGGCCCTAGGAGCGCCAAACCGAGTGAATATGTTTTTCTTCAAGAATGCGGTCACACTTCTTGCCTCGTTGTTTGGTAAGGCAATTGCTTCAACCCATTTGGACACATAGTCCACAACTACCAAGATATATTTCATCCCACAAGAACTCACAAAGGGACCCATAAAATTAATTTCCCATACGTCGAAGATTTCTATCTCCATCACAAAGTGCATTGGCATTTCCTGTCTCTTGGAGATTGATCCTTGCCTTTGACATTAGTCACAAGCCTTGACCATTTGATTGGCATCATGATATATTGACGGCCAATAGTAACCACATTCAAGCACCTTATCCGCCGTTCGTTATCCTCCATGATGACCCCCAACCGGTGAGTCATGGCATGCCTTTAGAATTGGCATAATCTCTTCTTCTGGAACGCACATTCTGATAATATTGTCAGCACAAACACGGAACAAGAACAGTTCCTCCCAATAGTATTGACGACAGTCTCTCAAGAACTTCTTCTTTTGATAGGATTCCAATCCGTCCAGAATAAGGTCACTAACCAAATAGTTAGCAATATCGACATACCAAGGAGCAAAAGTGCTAGATAGTGCCAATATGTGTTCATCCGGGAATGCATCGTTGATTTCAAGATCTCCCTTTGGTCTCCCTGCCTCTTCCAACCTTGATAAATGATCCGCCCCTTGATTTTGAGTTCGCTTGCAATCCTTGACCTCGAAGTCAAATTCTTGCAACAACAAGACCCATCAAATCAACCGAGGCTTTGCATCCTTCTTTTCCATGAGATAGCGAAGAGCGGCATGATCTGTGTACACTTTCACCTTGGATCCCAACAAATAAGCCCGGAACTTCTCAAAGGCATAGACAATGGCAAGAAGTTCTTGCTCAGTTACCGTGTAATTCATTTTGCCCCATTGAGTGTCTTGCTTGCATAATACACCGGGTGGAGAACCTTGTTGTGACGTTGGCCAAGCATTGCTCCAATAGCTAAACCACTGGCGTTACACATGAGCTCGAAAGGAAGAGACCAATCGGGTGTGACAATAATAGGTGCCGTGGTGAGCCTTTGCTTCAATTCCTCAAAGGCTTTGAGGCATTTCTCGTCAAACACAAATTTGGCGTCTTTCTCAAGGAGTTTGCACGTAGGATTTGCAATCTTGGAAAAATCCTTGATGAAGCGCCTATAGAACCCGGCATGCCCCAAGAAACTTCGAACACCTTTAACGGAAGTAGGTGGAGGAAGCTTAGAAATAATCTCGATCTTTGCCCGGTCAATCTCTATGCCACGTTTGGAAATTTTATGCCCCAACACAATGCCTTCATCCACCATGAAGTGACATTTCTCCCAATTGAGCACAAGGTAGGTCTCTTCACATCTCTTAAGCACTTGTCTAAGATTGTTAAGACAATGCTCAAAAGAATCACCTACCACTGAGAAGTCGTCCATGAAGACTTCTAGAAAATCCTCTACCATGTCGGAGAAAATGGACATCATGCATCTTTGAAAAGCAGCCGGAGCGTTACATAAACCAAATGGCATCCGGCTAAAGGCAAAAGTTCCACAGGGGCAAGTGAATGTCGTCTTCTCTTGATCCTCCAATGCTATGTTGATTTGGTTGTAGCCGGAATATCCATCAAGGAAACAATAGAATGACCTTCCCGCTAGCCGATCAAGCATTTGATCAATAAAAGGCATAGGGAAATGGTCTTTGCATGTGGCACTGTTGAGCTTCCGATAATCCATACACACCCTCCAACCGGTCACCGTTCTTGTAGGGATGAGCTCATTTTTCTCATTTTCAATTACGGTCATGCCTCCCTTTTTCGGCACACATTGCACCGGGCTCACCCAAGAACTATCGGCAATAGGGTAGACTACCCCGGCATCCAACCATTTGATGATTTCTTTCTTTACCACCTCTTGCATTGACGGGTTCAACCGTCATTGATGTTCCACACTTGGTTTCGTTTCACTCTCCAATTGGATTTTGTGCTCGCAAATTCCCACGGGAATCCCACGGATGTCCGCGATTGTCCATCCAATGGCTTGCCTATGCTCCTTCAAGACTTCCAACAATTGTTCTACCTGCACATCATTCAACAAAGAAGGAACAATTACCGGTAAAAGTATCATTTGAGCCAAGAAATCTATACGTCAAGTGTGGTGGAAGTGGTTTTAGCTCTAGTTGCCGAGGTTCGATAATAGAAGGCTTTGCGGGTGGAGTGGCTCTATTCTCCAAGTCGAGAGAGAGCTTTGCCGGAGCATAAGTGTAGGACCCAAGCCCCTCCAATGCATTTACCGATTCCATATACCCCTCCATATCTTCACCATCAAAGTTCACCAAAATAGCCGCCAATGCCTCGCCGAGGCATTGTTCTTCCATTTTCATTTCAACCGCATCCTCTACTTCATCAACAACATCGATCACCGAGATGCTTTCATACTCATGCGGTAGTTTCATACCCTTGCTTGCTTGGAATGTAACCTCTTCATCATTCACACGGAATTTGATCTCATTCCGTTCCGAATCCATTAGTGCTCTTCCAGTGGCAAGGAATGGTCTTCCCAAGATGATAGGGATCTCTTTGTCAACCGCACAATCAAGGATTACGAAGTCGGCAGGTAAATGAAATTTTCCCACCTTCACAAGCACATCATCAACAATTCCCACCGGTCGTTTGATGGAACGATCGGCCATTTGCAATCTCATACTTGTGGGCCTTGGCATACCTAATCCTGCTTCCTTGTAAATGGCAAGAGGCATCAAGTTGATGCTAGCCCCATTATCACAAAGGGCTCTTGCAAAATCATGTGCTCCAATGGTACAAGGAATGGTGAAAGCTCCCGGGTCTTCTTTCATTTGAACGGTGGATGTTGCAATGATGGAACTAACCCGATGAGTCACATTCACCACTTCATTTTTGGTAGTCTTCTTCTTGGTGATCAAATCTTTCAAATACTTAGCAAAACCCGGCATCTCTTGAAATGCTTCCACAAATGGAATATTCACCGATAATTGCTTGAGAATGTCGTAGAACTTTTCGAGTTTGCTATCATCAACCTTCCTAGCGAGTCTTTGAGGGAATGGGGGAGGAGGTCTAGGAATAGGTGGAAGAGTTTTTGGTGTCTCTTTTACCTTTTCCTTTACCTCTTCCCGGTTCTCTTTTTGCACTTGCAAATCTTCCGGAATCTTTTCAACTTCGACAACACTTGGCTCTTCAACCTCAACCCCTTGTTCGGACTCTTTTACTTCAACCACTTGTTCACCCTCTCCTTGTATTACCTTCCCACTCCGAGTACTAATTGCCATGATATGAGAAGTTGGACCACTCCCACTACCCTTTGGGTTCGCAATTGTGTCACTTGGAAGTGTCCCTTTTTGCTTTGGATTTTGTTCCCTTGAGAGATCTCTCATTTGCATTTCCAATTTTTGAATGGATGCGGTATGAGAGCCAACGAGCTCGGTCATGTTCCTCGTAGAAGTGTCGGATTTTTCTTGATTTTGTAATACCCGTTCAAGCATGTTTTCCAACTTGGAATCACTTGTTGAACCTTGATTTGAATATTGACCCTTTGGAGGAACATAAGGGTTTGAACTCCGGTTTGAGAAGTTGTTGTTGTTGTTCCAATTTCCTTGATTTGAGCCACCTTGGTCATTTCGCCATTGTTGGTTTCCTTGCCCTTGCGGGTTAGGCCTCCATTGATTTTGTTGTCCTTGACCTTGGTTTTGTTGCCTTTGATACCCTCCTTGAGGGTTGTTGATGTAGTTTGCTTCCTCAAAATCTTCATTTGATGTGGGTTGCACATCCTCCACCACATTCACCTTTTTTGTTTGGCTTTCCGTGAACATTTTTGTCAACACATTGACATTTGTGGCAAGCCCTGCGATTATTTGGTCTCTCTCTTGATTTTCCTTAATCAGGTTGGTTAAGGAAGGAGAACCATATGCAATTTGGCCTGTGGTATCCTCAGAGTGCCAAGCTTGATTATGTTTTTCCATTTTGTCAAGTATTTGTATGACCCTTGCGAATGATTTGTCCATAAAAGATCTGTCAGCTGCATTCTTCGCTATAGCTTGGTTCATAGGATCCAAGCCCATGTAGAATTTCTCCAACAAGATAGAGTCCGGAAAACCATGATTGGGAGACCTCACCAAATATAATTTGAATCGATCCCATGCCTCGTGTAGATGTTCCCTCGGCTGTTGCTTAAAGAAGAAAATTTTATCTCAAAGCTCAGACTTCTTGCTTTGTGGGAACCATTTAGCTAAAAATGCCCGGACAAGTTCAGGCCAAGAACGGATGGAATTTGGTGGCAAGTTTTGGATCCACCTCCTTGCGTCTCCAGCTAGCGAGTACTTGAACACCCTCAACATTAGGGCATCATCTGAGACATTGTTCTGCTTATACATAGCACATACTCCCAAGATGTTCCTAAGGTGTTGTGTTGGATCATCATCGGTGGAATTCCTGAAAAACCCCTCCGCTTTGAGCATTAGGATTAGACCATGTTCCACTTTAAAATTTGAAGCACCAACAACCGGAGGTACAATAGCATTTGTATCCTCAATGTACTCATCTATGTCCGCAAAAGGATTTTCATCCACTTCTTCCTCGTACTCCGACATATCTTCCAATCAACACCAAGCAAAACAAGCGAAGTGTGATGGAATAGAATAAGACGTAAAGTAAAGCACACACTAATTAGTAATTTCAAAACCGTATTCCCCGGCAACGGCGCCAAAATTTGATACGCTAAAATTAAACTTTAATAAATAGTGTAAGGCGGTCGGTGTCAAATATAATAACCCAACAAGGTTGGGGTCGAATCCCACAGGGAATAGGTGTGAAAAGCTACTTGATTAGTGTATCACTTGACTTAAATCTTAATTCTATCCGGTTAATTGTAACAAGAGTATGGTGTAATTTTGATTTAAAGAAATAACTAATGTTGACATTTAGAATGTAATTAATTGGATTAAAGAACCAAGGTTGTGTCCCCTTCAATAAAATGTAATGCTACCGGTGTTAATATGATATATTTCTAATGGAAGGTCCTTTTTGATGTGCAAATGATTTCTAAATGACTACCCAATATTTTCCAATAGTTGGGTAGTATTTACTCTTTATGATTTTTCCAAATATAAAAGAGTTGTAATTAAGAACAATCAATATATGCTAAATAAAACCCACTTAATCCTAAGCGATTCTATTAAACAAGGGTTAACGCCTTGAGTCTTTGATATTTACTCCTACCAAATTCTAACCCACTTTCCCAAGTAAAGCAAGAATTTAATGGCACTTGTTAGTGTTTGCAACCACCAACAATAAATGAAGAATGAGAAGTAAATGAACATCAACCAACCATTATATATATATTCAATGGTAAACACCCATTAACATTACACCCATTTAGGATCCACAACCTTAGTATTTAAAGTTAGCTACTCATACTAAGATACAAAATGAAGAATATATTTAATGCCATAAAGCTTACAAAGTGAAAGATTCTTGAACCAAAAGCTTCCAAAAGTGAAGAATATTAAAGTCTTGTATTGTAGCTCCCAAAATCAGACCAGATGAGCCACAAAATCACAATANCATAAGTGTTGTGCGGTGGGTTCAAGTGAGTTGCTGAAGGGCCAAAAATGCGGTGCACTATGTGATCGCATAGTGAAGATGCGGTCCACAAAGTGCACCGATTCGTCGCATTTTTCTCATCAAGTTTAGCCAAACACACTGTGTTGGTTTGCGACCAAAATGTGGTCCGCATAGAGAAAATGCGATCGCATATGTGTAGCAAACTTCACACGGTGATTTTTCTTCCCTTTCTTATGCAATCCTACCCAGTGTTATGATCTTTTGAATCCCCTGCACTCTAACACACACTTTAAATTGCTCAAGTAAACCTATCTATCAAAAATTTAAAGATTTAAAGAACAAAAAGGGTGTTACCACACATGGGTTGCCTCCCATGAAGCGCTTGATTTAACGTCGCGGCACGACGAAGTCGGCATTTCTTTTGCTTCACTCAGTTGTCGGGCGTGGACCATCTTGGAGAGCCAACTGTTCCACTAAATGTTTTTCTCCATCAGTGCCCAAGTAGTGCTTGATTCATTGGCCATTGACTTTGAATGTCCGGAGCCCTCTTCTGATGCTAGTTCCACAGCTCCAAAAGGAGAGACATTGACCACTTTGAATGGACCGGACCATTTTGATTTGAGCTTGCCCGAAAACAATTTGAGCCTTGAGTTAAAGAGCAAAACCAAGTCACCCGACTTGAACTCTCTTTTCAAGATCTTCTTGTCATGGACGAACTTCATCCTTTCTTTGTACACAACTGCACTTTCATAAGCATGGAAACGGAATTCCTCCATTTCATTGAGTTGTGTTAGCCTCAAATTTGCAGCTTCATCCTAGTCCAAGTTCAACCTCTTTAAAGCCCACATGGCCTTGTGCTCCAGTTCCACGGGTAGATGACATGCTTTGCCGAAGACTAACCTGTAAGGAGAAGTACCAATAGGAGTTTTGTACGCCGTACGGTATGCCCACAATGCGTCATCTAGCTTCCTTGACCAGTCTGTCCTGTTTGCATTAACAGTCTTTGCTAGAATGCTCTTGATCTCTCGATTGGAAACCTCAACTTGACCACTAGATTGGGGATGATAAGGTGTGGTCACCTTGTGCTTGACACCATACTTCTCTAGTAGCCCCGTGAAAGCCTTGTTACAGAAATGAGACCCACCATCACTAAGAATGGCCCTAGGAGTGCCAAACCGAGCGAATATGTTTTTCTTCAAGAATGCGGTCACACTTCTTGCCTCGTTGTTTGGTAAGGATATTGCTTCAACCCATTTGGACACATAGTCCACAACTACCAAGATATATTTCATCCCACAAGAACTCACAAAAGGACCCATAAAATAAATTCCCCATACATCGAAGATTTCTATATCCATCACAAAGTGCATTGGCATTTCATGCCTCTTGGAGATTGATCCTTGCCTTTGACATTGGTCACAAGCCTTGACCATTTGATTGGCATCATGATAGATTGACGGCCAATAGTAACCACATTCAAGCACCTTAGCCGTCGTTCGATTTCCTTCATGATGACCCCTAACCGGTGAGTCATGGCATGCCTTTAGAATTTGCATAGTCTCTTCTTCTGGAATGCACCTTCTGATAATATTGTCAGCACAAACACGGAAGAAGAATGGTCCCTCCCAATAGTATTGCCGACAGTCTCTCAACAACTTCTTCTTTTGATAGGATTCCAATCCGTCCGGAATAAGGTCACTAACCAAATAGTTAGCAATATCGGCATACCAAGGAGCAAAAGTGCTAGATAGTGCCAATATGTGTTCATCCGGGAATACATCATTTATTTCAAGATCTCCCTTTGGTCTCCCTGCCTCTTCCAGCCTTAATAAATGATCCGCCACTTGATTTTGAGTTCCCTTGCGATCCTTGACCTCGAAGTCAAATTCTTGCAACAACAAGACCCATCGAATCAACCGAGGCTTTTCATCCTTCTTTGCCATGAGATAGCAAAGAGCGGCATGATCTGTGTACACTATCACCTTGGATCCTAACAAATAAGCCCGTAACTTCTCAAAGGCATAGACAATGCCAAGAAGTTCTTGCTCAGTTACCGTGTAATTCATTTGCGCCCCATTGAGTGTCTTGCTTGCATAATAGACGGGGTGGAGAACCTTGTTGTGACGTTGGCCAAGTATTGCTCCAATAGCTACACCACCGGCGTCACACATGAGCTCGAAAGGAAGAGACCAACCGGGTGTGATAATAATAGGTGCCGTGCTGAGCCTTTGCTTCAATTCCTCAAAGGCTTTGAGGCATTTCTCGTCAAACATAAATTTGGTGTCTTTCTCAAGGAGTTTGCACATAGGATTTGCAATCTTGGAAAAATCCTTGATGAAGCGCCTATAGAACCCGGCATTCCCCAAGAAACTTCAAACACCTTTAAAGGAAGTAGGTGGAGGAAGATTTGAAATAATCTCGATCTTTTCCCGGTCAACCTCTATGCCACGTTTGGAAATTTTATGCCCCAACACAATGCCTTCATCCACCATGAAGTGACATTTCTCCCAATTGAGCACAAGGTTGGTCTCTTCACATCTTTTAAGCACTTGTCTAAGATTGTTAAGACAATGCTCAAAAGAATCACCTACCACCGAGAAGTCGTCCATGAAGACTTCTAGAAAATCCTCTACCATGTCGGAGAAAATGGACATCATGCATCTTTGAAAAGTAGCCGGAGCGTTGCATAAACCAAATGGCATTCGTCTAAAGGCAAAAGTTCCATAGGGGCAAGTGAATGTCGTCTTCTCTTGATCCTCCAATGCTATGTTGATTTGGTTGTAGCCGGAATATCCATCAAGGAAACAATAGAATGACCTTCCCGCTAGACGATCAAGCATTTGATCAATAAAAGGCATAGGGAAATGGTCTTTGCATGTGGCACTGTTGAGCTTCCGATAATCCATACACACCCTCCAACCGGTCACCGTTCTTGTAGGGATGAGCTCATTTTTCTCATTTTCAATTACGGTCATGCCTCCCTTTTTCGGGACACATTGCACCGGGCTCACCCAAGAACTATCGGCAATGGGGTAGACTACCCCGGCATCCAACCATTTGATGATTTCTTTCTTTACCACCTCTTGCATTGACGGGTTCAACCGTCATTGATGTTCCACACTTGGTTTCGTTTCACTCTCCAATTGGATTTTGTGCTCGCAAATTCCCGCGGGAATTCCACGGATGTCCGCGATTGTCCATCCAATGGCTTGCCTATGCTCCTTCAAGACTTCCAACAATTGTTCTACCTGCACATCATTCAACAAAGAAGAAAAAATTACCGGTAAAGTATCATTTGAGCCAAGAAATTTATACCTCAAGTGTGGTGGAAGTGGTTTGAGGTCTAGTTGCGGAGGTTGGATAATAGAAGGCTTTGCGGGTGGAGTGGCTCTATTCTCCAAGTCGAGAGAGAGCTTTGCCGGAGCATAAGTCTAGGACCCAAGCCCCTCCAATGCATTCACCGATTCCATATACCCCTCCATATCTTCACCATCAAAGT